ATACTGAGGCTGAGTGCGTTTATTGCGAAAGAGAGAGAGAGAGAGAGAGAGAAAGAAAGAGAGAGAGAGAAAGAGAGCGCGAGAGAGCGAGAGAAAGAGAGATACAGAGGCCGCGGTTTTTTTTTTTCCGAACGTCGTCGAGGACGAAACAAAAGTTCACGGGCAGTTTTGCGCTAGGCGAAAGACTAAAAGAATAAAAAGAAAAAAAAGGCTTGGAGGCTTTAGAATTGAGACGATGAAGTATATAGCTCGTATAGGGGGTTTCTTTTTATCGGGCCGACACACAAAAGGACGGGCATGCGTGACTCTGGCGCTACCTTAGTGAGTGAGCCAATTCAGTTTTTCAGCCTCGCGGATGCGTGTGTCCCGCTTATCGATAGACGCGCCGGCCGCGACGAGACATTTCGTCGTTTTTCCTCCTTTTTTTCCGTCCCTTATAAAAATTTAATACCCGAAGGTAGTAATTTCCAGTGTTAAATTAGCCAATATTAAATTAGATTTCTATGAGGGATCTCTCTACCTAATTTCTATCCGCTAAATGCAATTTACCTTTCATCTTTTTCTAATTCTTAGAATTAGATAAAGAGAAAAAGGATAAGTTAAATAAAGTAATTAAAGTCAATCGCTTTATTGATAGAAATGGACATAAGGTGAGATCGATTTGAGATTACAGAAATGAGAAGTTTAATTTGCTGGCCAATTTAATACTGGAAATTATTTATTTTGAATATTAAAAGCACTGAACAACAGTAAAATAAAATAAATAATTAGTTGCTACCACCTTCCAGTATTAACTTTTTGTAAAGTTAACACGTTAAAAAACTGTCAAATTACAATCGCACGTATTTAAAAGGAAAAAAATTTGGAACAGCTTATAGATTTAATAAAAAAAAAAAACATTTAAAATCCCTTTTAGGAAATTTAAAAATCTTCAAAATTATAAATACTTTCGCGAGAAGGTGCGGCCGTCGATATATTGCGGGACGGGCGAATCCCGGCGGGGTTTCAGGTCACGCGCATGCAGAAATAACCGATCGGCGATGGCTTTTCGTTTCACGCACGTGTGAAATCTCTTTCCTTTCGATTTCGTCGTTATTGCCGCGGTGTTGAGTGATTGAGAGAAAAAAAAAATCGGTGAGAAAACAGCGAGTTGCACAGCGAACAGCCGACTATAAACAGAACATAAGTAGTCTCCGTACACACGATTTACGACTAGTTTACAGGACGCGCGGCCGACGACGGCGTTTTTCCCTGAGCCCGACGAAGGAGAGGAGGCGAGGATTCCTCTCAGGGCGCTGGCGCGATCGTGCGCGCGCGCGCGCGCGCGGATCCGATTCCCGCGCGGAAAGAGGAGACGCGCGCGCGCGCGCGCGCGCGACCGAAGTCGGGATTCCCCCGACAGCGTCGTCGTCGTCGTCGGGGAGACCACGCGAGAGGACGATGATAACACGCCGCGTTTCCGTTTCTCTACTATATAGTTAACGTTTAAGGGACAGCTTAGATGTGGCATCTTTCATTTTTTTCGCGAGGACTATTAGTCGAGCAATAGGATTCGCACACACACAAACACACACACACACACGAGCCCGAGTAACACGTATGTATACAACACCGTACACGCAGAAACGCGATTACATGGCCACAGAACACACATATACACACGCAACACACATAAAACACATACACGCAGAGGACATCTCCAAGAAGCCAAGAAAACGAGAGGACATACGAGATTGTTTGTCTTTACTGTAAATAGAGGAGGAGCAGCATGTACGGCAAAGGTTCATCGTTATCACACTGTAACGTGTAACATAATTTATTTCTCGAGGGGCTGTCGTTGAGACGCCCCCCCCCTTTAAGTAGCCTAAGAGAGATCCGGATTTTATTTCGATCCTTCCGCCCGTGCGGAGGTGTGGAGAGCGAGCCGCCGTCGGACGGGCGTCTTTCGACGGGGAAGGAGACGTCTCTTTCCCCCTCGAAAGCGTTTCTTTTTTTTCCTTTCTTGTGGCCCTCTCCGAGCGGTCGGTGAGCTCGCGAGCCTCCTCGGCATTGTCTCGATTCGACGCTGCGAAAGTAATTAAAAAAAAAAAAAAAACGTGCGACACGCATCTGCGTGTGAAATGAATTTCGAGATTAGCCGGATGATGATTTCTAACAAGCTTTAAAATTATTCCTCTTTTTCCTTTGCCGCAGCTAGAGAATAGTTCTTGGAATAATTTTCCGGGCAAGGTACCGTAGGCGTTTTTTTTTTGCACCGTTTCATCCAGAGATCGCACGTGCCTCGATGATTCTGTGCTCTTTAATTCGCGCACACAAACGGAGAACTGTCTTTCTTATTCATACGACGGATGCGAGAAGTTCTGTTAGAGCTATTTAAGAGTTTAAGATATTTAACGCAAGTATTTACGACTACCTATGATTTAAAGAGGAGAGAACGACAAATCTCTAATGTAAGCGCCCCGTATTTATATGTAATCATAGTTAAGAAATTTATTTAAAATGACAAATTTCTAATGGTAGAGATCATATTTACGAATATAATTTAAAAAGTTTGCCGCGCGTGAGGAACACGTGTCTGCGAGAGGCGATTATTATGTTAATAATTTTAGGAATCCACACATTCTTTCGCGTGTCCGTCGTATGTAAATGTGTGGAAACAACGGAAAGGCGCAAGTTCTTCGACGAAACGATTCGAATCGAGACAGTGACCGGCGGGAATCGTTATTTATCGATTATAAAAAAGCGCGCGCGCGCTCGTCGCACCGCGCGTGTCGCGTGTGCGACGACAACGGCGAACGGCAATACTTTTCGTAGAGTTATTATCGTTTTAATTTGTCGCCTTTAAGGAAAAAAAAATGAAAAGCGAGCACACACACACGCAAGTATTTTCTTTTTTTCAGTAGGTAGCCCAATTCAGTTTTTTTTTTTGTGGATAAGTCGCCCGTACCGATAGATTATATTGAATGATAGAGCAACGCGCGTGATTTTTAAGACGCGCGCGGCGAGATGATGTAGCCGTGACGAGGACTCGTGAAACGACGTTCGTTCCCCGATTTACTTCGAAAAAAAAAAAAAAGCGAGTGCAGCGAGAACGTACTGCGTCGCGCACGATTTGTTTCAAGTCACGGAGACGCAGAGAAATCGTTCGCCCATTATTAAACGCGTTCTCCCCCTCTCCCCCCCCCACCACCACCCCAATCCGCCCCACCCGCCCCAGATCCTACCGTCCCTCCCCCCACCCGCCCCCACCACCTTCAAGGCCGGCCCCAAGAGCCCAACTTTTATTTATTACCGATTAGCTCGTAAGATGACGTTCTACCGAGGTATGCTATACTTATAAATACACCCTATATATAGTGGAGTAAGCAACTTACATTACCTACCTACCTACCTACCTACCTACCTACCTACCTACCTATCCGCGCGCTTGACGGGTGGAACAAACAGATGAATCACGCAATCATACATTTAAGTTGCTACTTGGCACGTATACCTAAGTAATATACTAACATAAACAGTATGCAATAACAAATAAATATGAGAAACGAAACATGTGTCTCTTTTCTACCCCCTCCCCTCCCCCTCGAAAATCTCACCCTCTTCTCTTTTTTAAATCTCTTCTTTGTATTTTAATAGTTATTTTAGGATTCGCAGAGGCGCAACATTCTCCCCTCGGAGACAATGGATTATTAAGGAACTTCTCGTTCTCGCTTTTACGAGAAATGTCAAACGTCAAACTGGGATTCGACTTTTGTGTACGACAGATACATATCGTGGTATTCTGTATGTACACAATTGCAAGATGTAGCATGCATAGAATTCTAACGAGCAATACATTTTCGGAAAACATTTATTTAGCAATGAGCACACTTTTTACAATATAAATAATTGCATTTTTTCAGTATCAAATAAAGAGATTAATCTTATTGAGTAAATTCCGTAAAAGGATTTAGCGAACAGCATATTGCACATGCAATACTCAAGGCCTGTTTCCTAACTGCAATCACATTGAGTTATGAAATGAAAAAAAGCATGTGAATCTTTTCTTGGAATATAAATAAATTAGTAAATAAATTTACTAGTCAAAATAAATTATTCACGTATTCACATGTCAAAATAAATTATTCACGTTTATTCACATGCTATCACATTCACATGTGTAGCATAAATTAATAACGAATAAGAATTATAACACCACTTATGCCGCCAAATCTAGGCCTGCTCGCCAAGCAAATGCACTGAACAACAAAGATGTTTAATTACTTTATCGCATTGGTTAACGAATTATGTGACATAGTGTCAACACAGGATATTATGGATTTAATGATAATATCAGGATTGGGAAATAACGCGTTACCGCCATTACCGTTTTCCTTACTTTTTTCAATAGTGATCATTTTTTTTCTGTCTGTAATGGTAACGAAACGTTCATCACACTTTTACGGTACCGAATTTGTTGTTACTTTTATCATTCTCCTTTATACTTTTATTATTTTATTTTACAGTAGATTTTTAACTTTTTTTGAAAAATACTGTCTATATCTTTTAAGCTACGTTTCGGTAGTCATTATCAATATTAAAAATCTATAATTCATTCCATATATAGATATTATAGATTTTCAAAACTAACAGTGAATATTGGAGTACACTCTTAATAATGAAATTTTAATGTTTAAAAACAATAAATTTTAAATCTAATTTTCTATATAAAAATAAATAACATAAAAAAAAACTTGCTCTATATACAGACTAATTTAGAAAGTTTAAAGTTTTATTATTTATTACTTAATAATTGATAATTATAAACTTGATAATTATTATTTAATAATAATTATCAAATATAAATTTCAAATCTAATTAAACTTATTTTAAAATTACAAAAAAGTAACTGTTACTTTTCAAGTAAACGATAAAATAACACGTTACTTTTGAAAATCAATAATGAGTAACGGTAACGAGTTATTTTTTACAAAAAAAAAAAGAAAACGGTAACACATTACTTTTTTAAGATAATGTTCCTAACTCTGGACATCTTATTAGTTTTCATTTCACATCGTGGAAATATCTTCAAAATTAGAAAATGTAACATTATCCGAAGATGAAAATCTATACTTAAGTTGTTAGGTTTGGTTAACCCTTTCCGAAGAGTTAACCATTACAAATGGAGGTATATTTCGAGTCCGATCGATTTCTATCCACGGAAATTTCTTGTAACTTCCAAAGATTCCTTACTTTTTAACTTTTCCTTAAAAAATTTTCTAATGGGGAAGAGCTTTATGTGGTAGGACGACCTGAGGCTATACACTGCGGAAGTAGTGAAAAATCGGCAACTCGGTGAATTATAAAGTACACTCAAAGTATCGACGCATAAAAATAGAGCAATAACAGTAGTATAAAATAGTTAATGATTTGCTAATGACGAAGAGATATGTAGCACATAGGCATGGCCATGGTTGCGCCCATGGCTATTGTCTTATGTACCAAACTGGTCATGTCTCTCACGAGAAACGTAGCCGTGCCATCGGAGCCGCGTCTTGGTAGTCGATACTTTGGATATACTTTATAATTCACCGAGTTGCCGATTTTTCGCAGTACATAGTCTCATTGTCGAAAAGTTTCCATCTTGAAACCTTCGTAACTTAGCAAAAAAAAATTATACAGGAATAAACAAATTGTTACTTAAAGGTAAAAGATTTATCATTTAGTATTTTATGATGCCGCTGAGAGAATATTAAAAATATAATTTGATCAACTATAGTAATGCCTCAAAAATCACTGTTTTTCGCTCGTATTACCACATATATCTCAAAAATCTGATGTGATAGACATTTCTCGCTGGTAGATTCGGATTCAAAATTGTGTAGGAAATCACTATTCTATTGTTTCTTTTAGAACCCTTAATTTCACAGATCTGTGGTTGTACTTTTGAAGAATTTGAAGTACCTGTATTTTTTTTTAAAAGCTATCTTGAAAACTCTAAACTAGAAAACCTTAGATTTATTTTCCTATATGCATTTATTATATAAAAAGGTATAATTTTTTTAAATCAAATAACACTTTTATCCAATTTTTGATTAATCTTCGGTAATTAAGTTATACATTTTATCTTTTTCCAAAATGAATTATAAACATTTAGTCTACAAACTTGAAAGTATGTTCAGGAATTTTTATAGATTTTTTGAATTATTTTAAATAGAAGAAACAAATTGGACTCGAAATACTTCTGTTTATGTATGGATAAAATACCGTTTTTCACATTCTATTGTAAGAGTTAATAGGAATCATTCTAGTAATGTGCGATGATTTTTAGTATATAATTTCTATTCCAACAAAAATTATAGTTTGTATTATTTCAAAAATATATGTAATCAACAATGTATGAGTTATTCGTTAACCATGTTTAAGCATTTGTTCAGTGAGCGGTCTAGTTATTTTACTGATATGGTTTAAATGCGTTCAAAGATTCCCTTTCTAATTCAGTGAACTGTAAATCTTAATTGATTTAATAATCCGAGAAAATAAAATTTATATATCGCAAGAAAAAGAATTTACATGATTTCTTGCTTCTAGTGTCATAACTGAATATGAATGAATTACGAAGCTTTAAAGTAATACAAAAGTAAAATCATTATCGACATTTCTGTAAACATAGGTTTATACCTAGGTTGCACTTCTCTGAAATTAGAATTTTTTTGGCAAATTTCATACAGTCTTTTTAAATCGAGAACCATAGAATACTGTCCGATATCTTTATTGGTCCACGATTTAGAAAGAAATGAGTTAAAAACAACATTTTTATCAACTATTCATATAGTGTTATCTACACTGCTTATTTCGATATACTGTTCTGGTTGATTTGTTGTTTAGCGGGGTTCAAATCTGGTTGCTGTGGAAGATTGTGACTAGCTTGCGCAGCATCTTGACTGCTCGACGGAACGTTACTCTGAATACTCTGTGGCACTTGATTCTGCATTTGTTGTTGCTGCTGAGCCTGCTGAGGCTGGTCCTGGATCTGTTGCTGGGCCTGCTGAGGCTGACCCTGAATCGGTTGAGCCTGCTGGGGATGGCCTTGGAATTGTTGCTGCGCTTGCTGAGGCTGCTGAACCTGGAACTGAGGCTGCTGCGGGACTGGCACTTGATACTGCGGCTGTTGCTGCTGCGGGATCTGGCCGGGATACTGTTGCTGAGGTGGAGCTTGCGGATGATAGACCTGCTGCTGTGGCAGTTGCGCCTGATATTGTGGCGCATGGCCGATCGGTTGTTGCGGTGGTATCTGCTGTCCTGGATACTGCTGTTGTGAAGGATGCACTTGTTGCGGATGGTATTGCTGGTACTGCGGTGGGAACTGCAAAACAATAGAAAAGAACGCGTTAAGAAGAGATAATCGCAAGTTCGCCGAGAGAATAACTTAACCCTTCGCACTTCATAATAGTTACACGATGGTCATACTGGGACAAAATGATCCCGTTTTTAAAGTGTTATCAAATCAACAGTATTAGTTCTATTAACTTTAAAAAATTACAGTATATAATTTCAACCTTTAAGAAAATAGAATAATAGTGTTTTAGTGAAAAATTAATCTTAACATTAAAAAAAAGTCGTAAACGTGTTAACTTCGAAAAAATGAGTTTTTTTTCCCTTAAGATCTTAACTTTTTTAATTTTTAATATTTTTAAATAAAATTTTAGCCTGATACTCTTGAGATGATGTACTTTTAAGAAAAAAATAGTATGATTATGGCGGGTGCGCGCCCTGCCTAAGCCAGGAAGGTTCTGAAATTTGAGCGTAAAAAAAGATTATGCTTATTTTGACTCAGTGTGACCATGAAGAGTTAACAATTAATAAAATGTTTCACAGTTTAGCGGCTACTCACCTGTTCATGTTGGACGGGTAGATGTGCAGTTTCAGGGGGTGGTGGTAACTAACGACAACAACAGAAAGTGCACAAGCTAAGTTAATTACTCTAATTACTACGCGGATAAGCATAGATAGTTTTTTTTTTAGTCAAAGCGATAGTGATAACGACCTACGCAGATCCGTCGACGCAGAACGACGACTCATGAAACACGTTTATCGTGCTAGTTTATTACAGTCGCGCATAAATTACGGCTACAAAAAAAAATCTTGGAGAAGCGATAAAGTAGAGCGTCTCTCTACCTCGAACATGCTGTATCAAAGATGTGTATACAAAAGCAAGAAATAAAATCGTTCAGATAGCATTCAAGGTTCTATATAAAAAATAAAATGTACAAAAATAAGGTCAACTCGATACATATGCGGGAACTTAACTTTCCTACAGCAGTTAACGAGACACGCAACTGGATTTATATATAAATACGGTTTCTCTATTCAATTTTTTTAAGTGCATTCAAGATTAAATTCGACAATTAATTGCTCACCATTCCTTTGGCGACCACTTTCTGAATTTCTTCCTCTCGGTGCCTCTGGAAAGCTTCGTATTCTTGCTGAGAATAAATTTGTTGCTCGTCCAATCCCTGCCATCCTTCATCCTGCTGGAAATCGGGCTTCTTCGTTTGCTCTAAGAATTCTTGAAAACTGCAATAAGCAAAAAAAAAACGCAAAATAATACACTTCGCTTCATGCGATTCTGATATTCGATTAGCGTAAATAATTCTGAATTTTAATAATTTCCGAGGTTTACCTTATGAGACCGTCGCGATTAAGGTCGGCTTCATTAAACACGTGCTCCCTCATCCTTTCCATTTCTTCCCGCCTCTCGTAAATATCATCTTCAGGTGCGCCTGCAGTATAAAGTTTATCCAACTCCTTCAAGAACAAAACCTTCACCTCATCATGATCCCAGAAACCATTACCGTCTAGATCTGAAATTGATTTCCCATTAGTTGTATGTAGAAAAACTACTTGAAAAAATAACGATCAATTATGCAAAGAATGATCCCTACCATGAAGGTAAAAGAATGTCTTGGGATTAAATTCTTGATCCTCCATATGATCCTGCTTCTCCCACACTTCCTCCAGTTGTTGCTTGCTACCGGGATGATGTAGCTGCGAATGCACATTACTTGTTAAGCTGGCGCCAATGCTATGTACGATTCGTGAATCATAATTTCACAGTTCACAATTCGTGTAAGAAACTCGTTTGCCAATGCTGGATATCTTCTACGCTGTCCCTCAATTCATTACTCATCATTCGCAATTCAATAGTAAATTATTTCTCCTTTCGTGCGATCCTTGCTCTTGGAATTCGACCAATTGTTCAGCTATTCTTTTATAAAGGAACATCATTATCTATTCATTGAGATTTCATTATGGAAAGTCAATTAGATTAATTACCATAATGGAATCCATCACCATAATGAAAAATCCATTACGAGTACTTAATATAATCGATTTTTCAACCCACAAAAAAAAGCTTAGCTGAAGAATCGATACAATTGGTAAGCAACAATTGTAAACTCGACAAATTCGTTCATTCACACTATTCACAAATCTCACACGAATAGCGTACTGCGAATTACGCATCGCATATAATCTTACATAAGATCTTTAGATAAGAAAGAAAAGAGTTATCTGGTATCCGTTTTTCAATTAACTTACAGGTTTGTGATCCTTGTGTTTTTTCTTCATCGCTTCTAATTCTTCCTCGTATTTCTTCTTCTCCTCCTCTTTCATATCTTCGGAAAAGAAAATACGTTAATTCCAAAAGTGACAATTACGTATAAATATAAAGTAAGTTCAAAAGCCTTATGTTCTGTTACCGGTATTACCCTTCATTTTTTGTTCCTCCTGAAACTTCTTCTGCATCTGGTATTCCTTAAATTGCTCCTGTCTTCGTCTATCGGCATCCTCCAAATCTTTCGTAGTCTACAAGCATTTTAAAATAATACAGATTTATTAATTAAAAATTAACGTATACAAGCTCGGAAGATAAAGCAATAAATAAGGGCTGACGAGCCAAGCTAGGTATTCATGCTGTTATAAATAAAGTTTAATAATAAACATTTCAAAGGTAATAAACATTAAAAATTTCAAACATTTTTTCCTCTCCTCCTTTATACTTTCCGAAAACAAAACACGTTAATTTCGTATAAATTTCGTGTAAATGTGAAGTAAATTTAGAAGCGTTATGTTTCTATTACCGGTATTACCTTCGATATAGACGTCATCATCAGTGGTCATAAATAAAACAGAAATCAATTACAAAATTTAAATTTAAATTTAAACGGAAATGCATTAGATTTATGTACCTAATAACATGTTTTAGCTTGATGTCAGAAAAAAAACTCAGTTGATGTCAAGAAGATAAAAAACACGGATGTACATCTGTTGTTGGCCTGTTATCGCAAGGTTGTACAAAGATTACCAAGCCATGGTCGTACATATAAAAATCGGTTGAGTCTGCTACTGACGATGATAATATTGGAAGTCATCAAACATTTGGAATTTTCAATGTTTATTATTTTTGGAATGTTTACTGTTATACCTCAATTATAATGGCACGAATACTCATTTCATTAACCCTTGATGTATTGCTTATTGTTTTTACATATTTATTAGAAAAATTTATATCACATATTTATAAAAGCAATTCATGTGAAAGCCGGTCATGCCGGATATCCTCGTCAAAGCCGGATATCAAAAGTTGTGCCCTACCTTGGCGATCAACTTCTTCAGATCGTCCATCTCGAACGTATGCGTGTTGGAGTGATCCAAATGTTCCGCTATCTTCAAATGGTCTATATCCAGACCATTCATCAGATTATGCTCTTTGGTGGCGAGATGTCGCAGCCTCTCCAATTCCTCTCGTTTCAGTTCGTCCAGTTTCGTTCTGACCTTGTGGTCCACAAACTGCAGCTCGTGCGCTATCTTGCCTGTCTATAAGTACAAAATTAATGATTGAATGTGTGATTAAAATTGCAGATTACGTTCAACAGCGTGGAATCGACAAAACAAAAAGATTCAATATTCAATACTCGTAGATTTCGATCTACTCGCGATCTATGTCTCAGATCGGCGTACAGATGTTATGGTCTATCATTTTATTGCTAGAAAAGTTAATACTGTTGGACAAGAAATAAATCACGCTATAATTATATAACAAAAATAAATAAAAATTCTTATAAAATCTAAATGAATTAGCATTAATTATATTCTTAATTAAGATTAATTAAGAATATATTAATATTAATTGAGATTAATTACGAGACTTACACGTATATCGTCTTCGTTAGCCTTTTCCAATTTTGCACGAAATTCCGAGTCGCTTTCCAACGCCTGGACCACCTCCTTCAGGTACCGGTGATACTCCATTGGATATTCCTCATTTGCCTACAAAGAAGACGAACGTTTTCGAACGTTATTGGTATACGAACCGGATCAATGGAACTATCCCAAAAATATATATCTACCGTGTCATCGACTTCGTTCTCCTTGTTCTTGTGATCCTCATTCTTCTTTTCGATTGGCGGCGCGACCGATGTCTGTATTATCAAAACTACTAAAAATAGCGGTAGCAGGTACTGCATTTTTCTGGAACTGAAAAAGAGATACAGCCGTACAAACGACGAGGATTGAAAAAAAAGACGTCGGAGAATTTTTTCTAACGTGAAATAAAAGCGAAGCGTGCGCTTTACTCGCTTGAAAAAACCGGTTGTTTGCTTAAATCGGTTATTTAAATCGCACTTTACATTCCTGTCAGCTGACGGTTCGCGAATCGCGCGTTATCTTTTTTATTCGATAAAGGCTTGATTAACGATGATCACGATGGCACGCATCGAGCGTAGAGAACGCACTCGATAAGAAAACGACGAAGAGACCTAGCTGTCCACTGGCATACAGTGGGCATAAAGTCGCTTTTTGCGGTTAAAAATCGTTCGACGGCTTAATTCTCAACTGATTGCAATATTTTTTTTTTAAATACGCGTCATTTACTGTACTATAGCGGAGACCTGCACATTTTTTAATATTACAATTTGTCAATTAAAAATCGTGATTGTAATAAACATGACAAACATTTTTTAATGTATTCATAATTCTTTCATCAAAATCTTGATCTACAAGGGTTTTTGAGATCGCTGATTATGAAACTGTCACTCAAATTTCAAAATTCAAAATTGATCCAAAATATAGCGGCCGCGGACTGAAAATGTGGGACAAATTCGCGAAATTTATTCCACATTTTTAGTTCACGGCCGCTATATTGGATCAACCGTTTTGAATTTTGAAGTTTGAGTGAAATTTGACAGTTTTGTAATCAGCGATCCAAAAAAAACCCTTGTAAATGAAGATTTTGACGAAAGAATTATGAATACACTAAAAAATGTTTGTCAAGAAGTTTATTATTGTAAAATAACGATTTTTTGTTAATTAACAAATTGTAATATAAAAAAATATGCAGGTCTCCACTATAGTACAGTAAATGACGCGTATTTGAAAAAAAAATTTATTGCAATCGGTTGAGAATTATTGAGCCGTCGAACGATTTTTTACCACAAAAAACGACTTTATGACCTGCACTGTGCGGCGCGGCGTTACCTTCGGCGTTATGTCGGAGGACAGGATTGATTCTCCTTGAGCCGGCGGCAGAATTCGGATCTGACAATCTGAGCGGTCCGAGCACACGTGTACGCACTAATGACAGCGAATGACAGCGAATGACGCGTCGAATGCAGCGTCGCGTGCCTCCGGGAGATCCTTGGAAACGAGCGTCAGCGAGAGACCGCGCGCAAGAAGAGCCCGTATTCGTACGAAAGCGCGCACGCGGATGGATAAGGCCACGTCAGCTGTTGGAGCTTCCTCGATGTGGTGTTACTTTCGACATGGTCCCCTCCCCCCCCCGTCAGCAGGACTACTATTCTGTACTCGCTACCGATGATCGTCGGTGTCGTTCTTATTATAAGAAAAGCTGCGCAACGACACCGGCGATCATCGGTAGCGTGTACAGTCGTGGACATATTGGTTGAGACACTTTTTTCATAGATTTTATACATATATTTAATATACATATATGTATAATATATAGGGTGTCCCAAAATTCGCGAATCAAAATATCATAGCAAGAAAGTCTTCGAAAAATTAAGCAAAAAAAGTTATTTGTAAATTTTTAATTTAAGCAGTAGTTTTTGAGATATGAGAGATATTAAATTTAGCCAATTATGGATTACGATTAAACGGAAACACGTCTGTGAACGCCCCGATAGTGTTAGTAGTCGCGCACTTCACGCGAGTACTGATCTATAATTGGCTAAACCCTTATATCTCCAAAACTATTGCTTAAAATAAAAATTTAGAAATTTACAACTTTTTTTCTTAATTTTTCGATGACTTTCTTGCTATGATATTTTGATTCGCAAATTTTGGGACACCCTGTATATATTTTATAGGTAACTATTTTGCAAATGCGAACCACAATGGTGTGCTATCTTTATAGTCTAGAGACAGTACACCAATCGTGGTTCGCATTTGCAAAATCTTAGTGCGCTTCGAAACCTATTAAAAAAAAAAGTGTTGCAACCGATATGCCCACTGTACAGAATAGCGGCCCTGGGCGAAATAACGTTAATAATCACAAATCGGTCGTTATCGATCATTACGGGATAACGCAAACGCAGATGTGCGGCGTGTGACGCGCGACACGCACATATATTCAAAGCGAGTGCAAAAATATAATGGATACAAGAGCGAAGATAAGAGAGCACTTAATGCGAGAAAATATAATATCTGCGGCCACTCGAAAGAGACAATATCCCGTTGAGTCTGTTCATTTCCAATTTCTGCGGACACATATGTACGTTTTCACGTGGCGTATTCCTGGTGGAAAAAAAATTTGCATGTCGCTCCGTTGGTATAATATAATAATTAGCTGATTACTCTAATTAGCAGTTTTCAACTTGTGTCGTTTTTACATTAACGGAACGGTATTCCATAATTTTTACAACAATTTTTCATATTTTAAATTTATTATAATTGAAATTTAGAGAAGATTTATGAAAAAAATATTGTAAACTTCTTCGGATTTTACAATTTTTTTTTCAGGAAAATTAAAGAACAAGAAATCTTTAAATATTTCAGAATTTATAACATGTATAAAGGATTCCAGAACAGATTTTTTCAGCACTTTGAAAATATTTCCAATTTCGAAATAAAAAAAAAATCTATATGAAATTTTCAACAACTGTATCATTTTAAACAATTGTAAAATTATACGGACATTCTGAAATCTTGAAAAATTATACAAAGAATTCTAAAAGAGAGGAAAATTTTCACCAAGAGTGCAAATAAAAATTTCTTGGCATACAGCAATGGGACAGATCTGTCTTGTCTATCAAATACACACGTGCCTTTTAAAATACGCTCACGTTTCATGCCCTACACACTACAATCTATTTATATTAGCGTTTTGTGCTTTGCACACTCTTTTATTTCACAAATCCGGAATATTCTCATTCCGCACGTAAATGCGCGGGTTGTCAAAATATTTTTATTTTACGTGCCATACTCTCGCCTCGAGCCGATCGAGCGACAATTGCGACAAATGCACACGTCGTTTCACGCATTCGGATCGGAACATGTGTGTGCGAAAAAGAGAACAGCTCGCATATGTATGTACACGTCACGTATGTATACCGGACGTAAAAAAAAGTGCGTGCGAAAAGGACGCATGAAAGCATGTAAACGTGCGATCAAGGCCGCGAGCGAGGGGAGACCGCGACGGAAAATCGCCCGCGGCATCCGCGATGAAAGTTCAGAGCGAGAGTAAACGGCGGAGCTCAATTCGGAGGAGCTGGCGGGGTTTCTCCTCCGCGGAGTACACGACGTCGCGGAGGACAAGAGGTTAGACGGGATCCAGGAGGTTCGACTTACGTAAACGGGCGTCGCAACGCCGTTTGTTCGCGTGACAGATCCGTGGCCGCCGTGGATCACCGTGATCGAATGCCCGCCGCCCGCGATGTCGAGAACAGACTGACCGCTGACGTGACGTGCGGATTGCGGAGCGGAGCCGAACGCAAACACGAGCGAGCGAACGGCACGCACGGCGAGTAGACAGTGGACACTACCATTTTTTTTTCTCGTCGACTAGTACCAACTCGTGCTGCCATCTTGTGCCACCTATAATAAACCTCTGACACGTGCGAGCTGTATCAAAGTGCGCAAACGGCGATTCCTGCGCGAGTTAGAATATAAGAACTGGGGTAAGATTCGTTCGGATTTGACATTATCCGTTTATCCGGATTACAAATAAATGTGACGTTTCAAATTCGGGTTATCCAGATACCCGAATCTTTTAAGAAATCCGAATAATAAAAGTATCGGATCTGGATCCGTATTTCAAATTCAAATTTGAATTCGCAACAAATTTAGATTTGAAATCGAATTTAAGGAGGTCATCCTGTGTGACGACCGTTTTTTTTAAGGTTTATTTAAGGTAAGTTAAGGCAAATTTTTACTATATATTTATTACAGCTTAAACTATATGTGTAAATTTTTTTATTTAAAAATATGGCGTCGATGGCGAGTTACATCACTGGAATGGCACCCATGTAAAAAAAAGCAGACAAACGGTACCCACGATTCCGGCAGACTGGTTTATCTGAAATCAAAAAATCAAATTGCAATTTAATCTATAGGTGAATGGCTATCGTGGAAACTAGAATTTTTAAAAAATATTGAACCGTTTTCTGTCCGCATAAAAAAATAGTCGCAAAAAATCATGCTATTTTGAGTTATAATTTTTAAAAGCATGCGAAAAATTGAATTTTTAATATTTGCAAAAAATCCTAGTTCCCACAATAGCCATTCACCTATAGATTAAAATGCAATTTGATTTTTTGATTTCAGATAAACCAATCTACCGGAATCGTGGGCATCTTTTTTTTACATGGATGCCATTTCAGTGATGTAACTCGCCATCGACGCCATATTTTTAAATAAAAAAATTTACACATATAGTTTAAGATGTAATAAATATATAGTAAAAATTTGGAAGCTCTGTATTTTTTCATTTCGCCACAAAAAAATACAAAAGAACCTTAAAAAAAAACGGTCGTCACACGGGATGACCTCTTTAAGTTTGTAGCGGATTTGGATTCGAATTTGGATTTAATTCGATAACTAAATATGAGAGTAAAAAAATGTTTTATAGCTAAAAGATTTATAGCTTTAAATATAATAAATAAAATAAAATGCATTTTTCAACAAATAAATTTCTCAAATAAATTTCTGTTATTTTAAAATTATAATAAAATAAAATACATTGCGGATGTATTTTATTCGAATTTAGATCCGAATCCTAACTCAAATCCGGATCCAAATAATTCGGATATCCGGATTACCCGAATGATTGGAATAATTCGGTTCTGAGATTCGAATTGAAACCGATCTCGGATATCCGAATATCTGGATATTCGAATACTTAGAAGAACACATATCTATCGGACCGACGTATGTCGAACGTGAACGTTGACAAACGAATGCACGGAGAGATCGATGATCCTTCCTATCCGTGGAGATCAACGATGACGACAATCAGGATTGGGAAAATTACTTTGTAAAAGTAATTAGTTACGGTTATAGTTTTGTCTATCAAAAAGTAACTATAATTACCGCGTTACAATTAAGTTACCGACTCTGAAAAGTAACATATTATTATATCAGATGGTATTTTAAGCCAGTAGTTGAATACAGAAGTTATCCTTGTATATTCACGTTTTTCATTACATTGTAAAATGTATTTAAATGGCTCCAAAAGTTTCTACATAATAAAAATCATGACTTTTTAGTTTTTCTTGCTAGTAACAATATAAGCAATAATAAAACGAGGAGTTAAAATTTATAAACTCGACTATGTTGAATGATTCACCAATATAAATGTTAATATTCAGCAATATTTTTATTTATTTGGAGGATGACCTTTTTACAATTCGTGGTTCTTAAAATTCATTTTGTTTATTTCTCGATTGCCGACATATATCTGTTTGTTTTATTTTTTTAATAAAGCACTCTCAGAGAAACATTATTAATCAATAAATCTATCCGTTGCTAAGATTCACAAAATAAACTATAAAGAGTATAACTAATGTGGGCTACTAAAGTATTTAAACATAGATCACATAACGAACCAGTTAAAATCCATGAACAAGCTATGGAATTGAAATAGAAAAAGAGAAAATGGTATAATATCAACCTTGTCCTCCTCCGTGTCACCGTTTAAAGAATGATAAAAGGGTGCAACCTCTTTCATATTCGTCATGTTGAACTAAACAGTGATATCCTGTTCTATTGTACTTAACAATGAAATGACTAATTTATGCAAGTTTACATTATGTTTATATAGTGTCTCATCGATATTATGCAAGCGTGAATAATAAAAACCAAAGATTTTTTAGATAAGAAATAAATATCAATAAAATTTCAACGTTACAACAGACTGAAATCTCATGAAAGATTTATTAACTTTTTCAGTAATTAATAATAAAGAATTTTTTTAATGCATACATAATACTCGCAGGATGTCTCGTGCATGAGAAGCTGAAAATTATCAGCTGTTTTGTAAGAGTCGCACGCTGAGAGTCGAAAGATTTTCCCCACATCGAGAACTAAAAAAATTTTTTCTTGAAAACGAAGCAAAACACGTTCTTGAGTTTTTTTCTAAGATGTAGGAAAACTGAAAGTATATAAAAAATATTTATTAGTATTAGTAAAAATAACTATTAAGTAGGAGCAGTAGCGAGTTAATAAAATTAAACACTGTAGATTTAGGTTGAC